ATGAGAGAGAGAGAGAGAGAGTGGTGGTTGCCAGAGGCTGGGGCTAGAGGAATGGGGTAGGGGGTTGTTTAATGGGTTCAGAGCTTCAGTTTGGGAAGATGAAAAAGTTCTGCAGTGATGGTTGCATAACAATGTACATGTACTTGATGCCCACCTAATATGCTAAAACCTGTTAAAACGATAAATTTAATGCTATGTATATTTTACCACAATTTTTTAAAAAGTGTTATATCTGAAAGCAAGAAAAAAAAGGAATGTTTCAGGCTGGGCATGGTGGCTCATGCCTGTAATGCTAGCACTCTGAGAGGCCGAGGTGGGCGGATTGTTTGAGCTCAGGAGTTCAAGACCAGCCGGAGCAAGAGTGAGACCCAATCTCTACTGAAAAAATAGAAATTAGCTGGACAACTAAAAGTACATATACATAAAAATTAGCAGGCATGTGCGCATGCCTGTAGTCCAGCTACTCAGGAGGCTGAGCAGAAGGATCGCTTGAACCCAGGAGTTTGAGGCTGCTGTGAGCTAGGGTGATCCCATGGCACTCACTCTAGCCTGGGCAACAAAGCAAGACTCTGTATCAATTTAAAAAAAAAAACATACTGCAAGGTAGTATTGTGAGGATTTAGTAAATGGTAAAAAAAAAAAAAGTACAGATACCCATTCAGTGCAAGGTAGCTATTGTTATGGAGTGAAAAAAATCATGTTTTGCCTAATAATTGGCTTATATAACATTTGGTCTGAAGCATTATTCTATATTGAGTCTAATTCCTTGGAAGGCTGGATTTTTTGGCATGTTTTTCAGGTAAATATTGGTACTTCATGTCAAGGGAAAAGAAGCCAAACTCTGCAAAATAATTTATTTATTTATTTGAGACAGAGCCTTGCTTTGTTGCCCAGGCTAGAGTGAGTGCCGTGACATCAGCCTAGCTCACAGCAACCTCAAACTCCTGGGCTCAAGCAATCCTCCTGCTCAGCCTCCCAAGTAGCTGGGACTACAGGCATGCGCCACATGCCGGCTCATTTTTCATATATTAGTTGTCATTAATTTCTATTTATAGTAGAGACGGGTCTCACTCTCGCTCAGGCTGGTTTCAAACTACTGACCTCGAGCAATCTGCCCGGCTCGGCCTCCCAGAGTGCTAGGATTATAGGCGTGAGCCACAGTGCCCAGCCTAAAATAATTTAAATAGGTTTATTCTGAGCCAAATTTGAGGACCACAGCCTGGGGCTACTCCCAAGAAGCCTTGATTGAGCAAGTGGACTCACTGTGATTGGGTTACAGTGTGATTTTATATATTTGAGGGAGATAGGGGTTACAGGTAAAGTCATAAGGCATACATTGGCATACATGGAAGGCATACATTGGTTTGGCTGGAAAAGGTGGGACTTCTCAAAGGGGAGGCTTAAGGCTTATAGGTGGGTTTAAAGATTCTGTGATTTGTACTTGGTTAAAGAAATGAAGGTTTGTCTAAGTGCATGGAAGTTAAGATAAGGAAGTCTGTTAATCAGAGACAAGCCACAGGAATATAGACTGAGACTCAAGGGATTTGTTGTATAAATTGAGGACCAGCAGGTTTGTCTTGCATAACCTTAGGCCTGTGAATGAGTTACAAGAAGATGCCTTTTGTAAGGGAGTGGGGCATGATAAGGCATGTCTGACTGCTCTTCTCCTGGCCGGCAGCTCAGTTTTAGGATATCCCCTTGGCTAACAGGGGTTCCAGTCAGTGGGGAGCATTAAGATTTTATTTTAGTTCACATTCATTTACTATGTGCTGCTGAGAACGCTAACAACAGTGATGGTTTTATCTATTTATTTTTTAGAGGACAGAATCTTGCTCTGTGGCTCAGGCTAGAGTGCAATGGTGTCATCATAGCTACTGCTCTTGCTCAGGCTGGTCTAGAACTCCTGGCTTGAAGGGAATCTCCCACCTTGACCTCCCAGAGTGTTAGGATTACCTGGTGTGAGCCACCCTGCCTGGCCAGTGATGGTTTTATGTAGTAATAACTTTTGGGGTTTGAAGATAGATTGCCAAAATTCTAAAAAAGTACTTATGTTTTTAAAATGAAGCTTTACAACAAAATGAAGCTTGGCAACATAGTGAGACCCTGTCTCTACAAAAAAATAAGAAAAATTAGCTGGGCATGGTGGCCTGTGCCTGTAGTGCCAGCTGCTCAGGAGGCTGAGGCAGGAGGATCGCTTAAGTCCAAGGAGTTGAAGGTTACAGTGAGCGATGATTGTGTCACTGCACTCTAGTTTGTCCATGTCTCTTAACAATAAATGAACAAATAAATAAAGCTTTAATTTTTTTAAAAACTCATTTTAGAAATTTGGAAAATTAAAAAAAAGGTTTGCTTTGATTTTTTAATTACCCATAATCCCACAATACAGATATACTCACTTCTTAGTTTCATGCAATCTTGAACATAATTGATATAATGGTTTCATATCATTATATGAATATTTTCTATTTTTTAAAAATGAGACAGGGTCTCACTAGTCTGAAGTGATCCTCCTGTCTCAGCCTCCTAGTAGCTAGGATCACACTCACTGTAGGAATATTCTATATTTTCTTAGTTTGGCCCTGCAACCAAACCCTAAAACAATAATTTGGATGTCCATAGTGAAATAAATCTCTTTCTGCTGTCTCTCTGCTCCCTCCCTCTCCACCTAACCAACTGTTGCCCAGGGAGCTCTGTCTTTTACAACATCTCAAAGGAGCCCAGCAGGCAAAAAGGAAATGCAATTTTTTTTTTTTTTTTACTGTTGCTAGACCTATTGACTAAAACTGCCTTTTGGCAGGTTTCTATAGGCTGTAGTATTTCCTGAGTAGTTCCTGGATGACAGCTTGGGTGACAATCTCCAGACATCTAACCCAGCCCAAAATCCTATCTTGAGGGCTAGGTCACTTTATCCCTGAAGCAAAGGGACAGATGCAGCAGTTTCACACAGCAGATTCCATTATCTGCTTGCAGTTAAGAAGAAAAGAAGGAGGGGTTGGGCAATTCACAGCAATTACTATTTTTCTCTTGTCCGCATAAAAGCAGCAAGCCACTTGGCCCAGCTGCTGGTATCTCCCTTCTTTCTTTGGGATGCTGCTCTCTCTCTTTCACTGTCTCATTCCCTCTAATCCTCTGAAAGGATTAAATCAACTTTACTTCTATATCTTAATTTCTGCATGAGAAATCTTTCTCCGCCCTAGCTGTGAGCACCTACTAAGCTTCCTACCCTAACAAACAGTTTATTTGGGAGGTGGGGAAGTGAGAGAGGGAGGAGAATGAAGCCAGTGAAGGGAGTACCATCCAGTATATTCCCAGTGTGGGCTGCTGGGGCACAGTCCTGCTAAGGAAATTTGGGAGATGGTACAGACATTAACCTCACTGAGCCACAAGTGAGGGGAGTGTGTGTTTATGCACCTGCTCCTGTTGATCTACTGACTGAAGGTTGCTTGGGGAGGAGGGCAGAGGGAGATGTTAATTCCCTGGCCCTTCGGGCCTGCCTTGAACTTGGGCAGAGCCAACTCGGGCAGAAGAGAAAGCCTTTAGGCAGAGACGCAGGAAGTAGGGCGAGTGTGAAGTGGTTAGGGCCCTGGAGTTCTGGGTAGGCACTTCTCTTTTTTTAATCTCTACTCTCTTCCTCAGTTATCTAATGTCATTTTTAAAAAATAAGACGCCTCTCCCACTATCAACTTCCTCCACCAGGGTGGTGCACTTGTTAAAGTAGACAAATCCACACTGACACGTCATTCATTATCTCCCAAAGCCCAAAGCCCAAAGCCCGTGGTCAACATTGTGGTTTACTCCTGGTTTTGTGCAGTCTATGAGTTTGGACAAACATGTAATGACATGTATCCACCATCACAGTATCACACAGAGTAGTTTCACTGCCCTAAAAATCCTCTGTGCCCTGCCTGTTCATCCCTTCCTGCCCCCTATCCCTGCCAACCACTGATTTTTTTTTTACTGTCCCAGTTTTGCCTTTTCCAGAATGTCACATTGTTGGAATCCTACAGGATGTAGCCTTTTCACCTTGGCGTCAATGCTGTGGTTCTTAATACCATCTATAGGCCAGGGGCGGTGGCTCACGCCTGTAATCCTAGCACTCTGGGAGGCTGAGGCCCGATCATTTGAGCTCAGGAGTTTGAGACCAGCGTGAGCAAGAGCAAGACCCTGTCTCTACTAAAAATAGAGATAAATTAATTGGCCAACTAAAAATATATATAGAAAAAATTAGCTGGGCATGGTGGCTCATGCCTGTAGACCCAGCTACTTGGGAGGCTGAAGCAGGAGGATCCCTTGAGCCCAGGAGTTTGAGGTTGCTGTGAGCTAGGCTGATGCCACAGCACTCTAGCCAGGGCAATGAGAGTGAGACTCTGTCTCCAGAAAAAAAAATTACCATCTATAAGCTGATGATGCCCAAATGTACATCTCTGCCCACCACCCTGCCAGAAACCAGCTCCTCTCCAGTCTGCTCCCAGGTCACCATCTGAGTTTGTTCCCACTGCCTCTTCCTGTTGTCTCTTTAGGGCCATTGTCCTTTGTGTGCCCCTTGTTGCAAGCACTTTGCTCCAGGTTGGCTCCTTCTTGGTTTCCATGTTTCAGCTCAAGTTTTTCCTTCCCTGAGCCGTCTTGTATTCCTTGATTGCCCAATTTCAATCGGGGCTCAATACAGCCACCTCCAGGTACTCTGTCACATCCTATTTTCCTCATAGCCCTCATCACAACCTGAATTTATCTTACTCATTTGTTTACCGTCTATCTCCCACTACTTGAATATAAGCACCAAGAAAAGAGAAACCTTACTGGTTTTGTTTACCACTGATCCCCTGTGCTTTGAAGATATCTGACATATGGCAAGCATTCAAAAAGCACTTGTTCAAAAACGATTCATGATTCAATCATACTGCTGTTGCTGAACTTTTTTTTTGGTTGTTTAAAGTTTACTATAATAAGCACTGCTCTGATAAATGTATTTGTATATAAATTTGTACATTAATTATTGCCTATGTTATTTTTTTTCTTGATGATCCTATAAGTGAAATTCCTGTGGGTGAGATTATTGAATCAAAGGGGAATGAACACTTTTAAGGCTCTTAATACATATTGCAGAATTGTTTTCTGAAAAGGTTATTCTAATTTACACTTTACTGATTGTATATTATAGTACCTATTACACTTTGCCCTCATTAGCATTAGAGATTCTGTTTATAAAAAAATCTTTATTGATTTGATAGGTGAGAATGAGTATATTTATATATTTGTGTTTATTTTGTTATTTGCATTATTTTGCTGTAATTTCCTTTTTACTTATTCTTAGTTAAAAACTTAGCAGAAGCTAAGGGACTGAGTGCTTTGGCAGTTTGGAGATGGCTAGTTATGGTTCTCACATAGTTGTACAGAGTGTGTAGAATAGTCGGACAAGGGGAGTCACTAGAATTCTAACTTTAGCAAACAGATTCTTCAGCTTTGAAACAGAACCGACAGCTGAGCATTTATCAGGCTAGAAAATTTAGGGAGTTTCAAAGAACAATGGTAAATCAGGTGAGGGCTATTTTGGTTTAGAGATTGTATTATCCAAGAAAGAGCTAACAGAAAGGTAACTGAATGATCATAGTTCTCTTACAATATTAAAATCAGCGTCTTCCCTATTGTGATAGAAATTCTCCAACATGAGCCAGGCATGGTGGCGCAAGCCTGCTGTCCCAGCTTTTCGGTAGGCTGAGGCAATAGAAACGCTTGAGTGCAGGAGTTTGAATCCAGCCTGGACAACACAAGTGAGATCCTGTCTCTAAAATAAAATAAAATAAACCCCATGACCCATCAGATGGCTTCAAAAATTTCCAACATTTTGCCACTCTTATACACTTGGCTTTTAAATACATTTTTGTCTACAGTAAGGCTATCTTTAAAAGCCATTATTTTGAGACCATGTTAGCAAACATACGTGTGAAATTATCACAGAAATAATAAAGTGATCTTGCTGCAAGCACCACGAACTTGTAATCTTGATTTTTCTTCATTCAGGGCTGAAGGAAAGAGAAGCTGCTGGGCTGAAGGTCGCCACACAAATAGCTGAAGACTTAGGAGAGAGTCCCAAAGCCTGAAACAAGATTTGTGCTTACATTCCTACAATCATTCACCCAGTGTATTCTGGGCATTTCTCACGCTCACCCACCAGCTAGCCAGACACACCTTGCTCAGACATAAACTTGAGTACAAATCAGGTTTCATCATTTAATGGCTTTAAGACCTTGAACAAGTTCTGCCTTTGAGTCTAACCTTCTCGAATAGGGCATCGATAGAGCTCAAAGTGAGGGAAAGTACCCAGAAATGCGTATTAGAACCGCTGCCTTCTGTAACACGTGTTCCCTTCGCCACTGTCATTCTGTACAGTTTACTGGGCGCGATGAAAGACATCACAAGGCAGTCGTCTCTCTCTCTTCTGGAACCTTCCTTTCCCAATCTAAGAGGGCATCAAAAAGTTCACCACGGTCCACCACACACAATGCAACCTGTGAGATGCCAAAAGCCCGCCCCCACGGAAAGCAGCATTCATTCATCTTCCAAAATCATCTGCAGGTCTTGCAGCTCCAGGAAGAGCACTGGGCTGAGCCCGGCGGTGGTCCGAGGGCAGCCGCGTGGCTCACAGGTTGCCGGCCCTCCCACAGCACCCCGGTTTGGTCCTGAGGAGAGCAAGGCGCCCAGGGGCGGGCTGCAGGAGCCGCCCAGCAGGCAGCTCGGTCTGGTCCCCCGAAAGCCGCAGCCGCCGGCTCCCTTCACCCTCACCTTGAGGGGCTGCGCCTGGACCGCGGTCTGGAACTTGGGCGCCGCCCGCGGGAGCCCCCGTCCCACCCCGCCTCCCAGGCTCCCCGCGCGCCCCCCGCCGCCCCCGGCCGGCCCGCGCGGCGCGCAGCTCCCGGCTGCAGCGCGGCGCGGAGCGGCGTCCCGAGACGCCTGGGCGGCGGCGAGCCCGGGAGGCGGGGACGGGGCGTGCCGCCGGCGCCCGGCTCCCGGAAGCGGCCGGCTCTCGGGCTCCCAGCGAGCGGACCGGCGCGGCGGCCGCGGCTCCAGCATCCCTGCCCGCGCCCGCAGGAGCAGAGCCGGCGGCCACCGGCGCCCGAGCAGCGCGGCCCCGGCCCGTGCGCGCCCCGCCCGCCAAGATGCAGCCCGTGTACGCGGAGGCGAAGCCCAACCCGCTGCAGGACGCGAACCTCTGCTCGCGCGTGTTCTTCTGGTGAGCGCCCCCGCCCCAGCCGGGCCCCGTGCCGCCCCGGCCCGCGTCCCCCTGCCCTGCGTGCGGTCCACGCCCGGGCTTCCCGCCGCCGCCCCACGCCGGCCGCGTGGTCCCCGCCTGCGCCCCGGCACGGCGACGGGGACCCGGTGGCGGGAGCGCAGGGCCAGCTGCCTTTCCGCTCCAGGCCCCGCTAGCCCGCAGTGCGCGGGGTGGGAGGGCGCGCCGAGCCCCGAGGCCGCCCGAAGCGGGGGTCCCTGCCACGCGGGGAAGGACTGCGCCCTCACACGCCCGCCCGCCGCCGCCTCCCACCTGCCGCTCGGGGACTCGCAGCCCCCGGAACCAACACGGCACCTTTTTCTTTTTAAGTAAGCAGCTTGTGATGAACGGTTTCCTTTATCTGTTTTGAGCCAAACCCTAATTTAGCGTGCTGGACCAGTGCCATCTTCCAATAGTGTCCCCACCTTTTCCGATATTCCTTAGGAGGCAACTCGGTCCAACTCCTCCCGGTTCCCGCTGTGTGTGTCTCCGTGTCCAGATGTGTATCCGTGTGTGTGTGTGTGTGTGTGTGTGTGTGTCCGTGTCCCTGGGTGTCATGATACCTGCTTATGGTAAATTCCATGTGCGTAAAACACTTTAGTATTTGATTTGTGAATGGGGACATTGTTCTTGAACAAGATCTGCTTCCACGTGTTGCTTTTTTTTTTTTTTTCTTCCTTTTTTTTAGTTGAGTCTCCCGATGTTGCGCAGGTTGGTCTCCAACTCCTGGGCTCAAGAGGTCCTCCCGCTTCAGCCTCCCTGAAGCTGGGATTTTGGGGTCACATTACAGACACTCACCCCCGCGCGTGGCTTCACGTTTTGCTTTTGACTGGGAGACGCGTGGCCACGACTGCAGTATATCTTGGATCAGCCTTTGGTCTCTGTTTGCAATATTTTCACCTCCCCTTTGAGGACGTTACTGGGGATGCAGCCTCTGAAACCTGTGTCATCTTTTTGGAATCTCCAGCCTTCGGAGAAGCAATCCAGGGTCTTGGCGCGGGTGGTTCTGACCAGGAGTCCTGCCATCCTAAAACCACTGAAGGGCCCCTGAGCTCGGAGGGCCCCCAGCTCTACCCTTCTTGTGTAGGGTAACAGGCAAGGAAAAGGCCCAAGGAGGTGACACTCTAAAAGTTTCCATCTCCTACCCTGGACTACTAATTAGGTGGGCCTGGATCTCTGGACTTTATTCATACTTGGTTAATTAGTAGATTTTCTGTTTCTTGACCTCTGCCCTTCCATCTTTCCCACATATTCTGATACTTCCTTTTTTTTTAATAGGAAAACCTAAGGGATCCCAAGAGGATGAGTCAACCTACTTTTAATTGTAGCGCACTCTTTGTAGGAACCTTTCTTTGTGGTTTGGCAGCCCTTCTCTTAAGGAGAGGGGTGTGGAGGAGGAAGGGATATGGGTGTGGTTACCACAAATAATAACATGAAGTAGGCAAATGGTCTGCTCAGCTTCAGGCAGGGCAATTTCTGTGGATTTTCAAAATGTAGGTGCAGGGGAATGGGAAGGTGAAGTTGCCCAGGATCACACAGGTAGTACGTGGCTGAGCCAAACCTGGGCAGTTTGGCTCACAAGCCTGTGTTGGGAGCTGTTGTACTGAGCTGCTTCTGTTGGGATGCTTGTTCTTAGATGTGTGGATGATTGTGGGTGTCTTGGCTCAGGCTTGTCATCCTAGCACTACGGGAGGCTGAGTTGGGAGGATTGCTTGAGGCCAGGAATTCTATCAAGGAGCTAGACCTTGTCTTTACAAAAAATAGAAAAATTAGCCTGAGGAGTTATCACATACCTCTAGTGCCAGCAACTAGAGGCTGAGGCAGGAGGATCTCTTGAGTCCAGGAGTTGGAGGTTGCAGTGAGCTATGATGACACCACTGCACTCCAGCCAGGGCAACAGAGCGGGACTATGTATCAAAAAAGAAAAAAACGCATGGAGCAGGCTATTCCAAACAGCTCCTGGTTCTTGCAGGCTGGAGTTTAAGGGAAGTTCTTAAAATTCCTGCTGTTGGAAAGGATGCACGTGAAACATGTATTACTTTGCTCTAGGGCAGGTGTTCTCAAAGTGTGGTACTCAGACTGGCAGCATCAGCATCAGCTGGGAGAAAACGTGAGAGCTGCAAATTCTCTTGACCCACTCTAAGCTGATAGAGTAAAATTAGAAACTCTAGGTGTGTATGTGTGTGTGGTTGGCAGGTGGGGGGCATTCAACAAGTGCTCCAGGTGAGGCTGATGTACTGCTTTTAGCTACTCCCATCGGAGGAGTAGTCTAGTATTTTATGTTTTTAAAAGAGGAGCAGATGTGGACCATGATGGCCACCCTGTATTTACTTACCTTCTGCAGTTTGAGGGCTTTTAAAGTCTGAGGGCTTTAAAGTGATTTCCTTGTGAGACCAAAAAAATAAAAAATAAAAAACAAAAAAAAACCACACAAAACTAAACTAATTCATCTGAGGAATTCAAGTCACCTGCAGAGACATTAAAATGAGTGGTCATTTTCTATTATACTTCCCCTCCTTGAGATATGTATCTGCTCTTGAAAGAAACTGTTTGCCCTTGCCACCAGTAGCTATAAATTTACCTAACAATGCTGCTTCCAACACCATAACCCACACCCTATAGCTTAACAATGTATAGCCAATCCCTAATCAAATGAGAATTCCTGGCAAACCGTGTTGTATCTGGGGACTTTCTGTCTCTCATTTTTTTTTTGCATTTAAAAACCTGTTAGTAACGAAGGCCTAGTGGAGCTCACAGAGCCACATAACCTTGGCTGAGTCTTCTGAGAGCTGCCCTCACTTTGGCTCAAGTCAACTCTTTTAAGTTCTATTTTGTGCCTTGGCCTGATTCTTCTAGGTCAACACTTACGTATCTCTCTCACTGCAAGTGGGAAAGCTGAAATGAAAGCCAGGAAGCGGCCACCCGGGGACAGGGACAGGGACGAGGCCCACCTTGCAGAAAAAAACTGCTTGTTCACCTTCTGATAGGGCGTTTGCTTTTCTTCTCAAATTTCATCTGCTTACTAAACTTGTGGGCTGGTAGCTAGCTGCCTACCCAATAACTGGCTAACTGACTTTTATACAAAATGTTATTGGAATTTTGGTGTATTCATCGTACAGTTTGGACTTGGGGTCTAAAAGAAGTTATACTTTATGGCTATTGATACTTGTTATGGATTTTTAAAACTATATATATTTTTTCTATATCTGTAAGAAATTTAAAACTATAGAAAAAGAAGAAAGGAATAAAGGTGCTTTACTTCTGTTAGGCAGGTATACCTGCTGATGTTTTAGTTGTTTATCTTCCTCCAAACTTTTTTATGCACACACATTTTTTTCTATAATATTGTAAACAGTTTTTTTTTTTTTTTTTTTTTTGAGACAGAGTCTTGCTGTGTCGCACAGGCTGATCTCAAACTCCTGGGCTGAAGGGATCCTCCTGCCTCAGCCTCCCTGCAGCTGGGACTGCATATGCTGTAAATTGTTTTGAATTCCAGATGTTTTCTTAATTTTATTTTCTGTGCTTAACATTTATTCATGGCACTAAATAATCTTCAAAACATGATATTTAATGATTGTAATTTATGCAGTCTTTCCCTATTGTTGAACACAGTTTATTTCTGATAGTGATATAATGCGTATATTTTGTAATGCTTGTATTTTGGTGTGTCTTCCTTTTTTTATATTCCCAGAAGTAGAATGCCTGGTAAGAAGCCAAATGGTTTTCCAACAGGATTGGACCAGATTGCCTTGTTAATGGCGGTTTGTGTGCATATTTCATTGTCAACTTTGAATATTGAATTAAAAAATTCCAAGTTGCTAGATTAAGAATAGTATTCGTTTCATTTAGAATTTGACAGTTATAATTGAACTTTTAAATGGTCTGTTGACCATTTATTTGTATTTCATTAAATTGTCAATAGACTTTTTTGCATTTTTTCTATGAGACACTTATGTTTCTGAAATAATTTGTAATAGTGCTTACAGTATTTTTCCAGATTTTCACTTTTCAATTTTTTTCTGAAGTTTTAAATTTGTATATCATTGATTATATTGAAGTTTTTTTTTTTTTTGCATGGGGTGCTCCTGTTGCTTTAGGTCTTGATATATATTTTTAAAATCACAGGGTCAATCTCCATATGCATTTTTTTTTTTTTTAGCTATTCTGTCATTTTTAAATAAAGGCAGCTAGAATTTCTTTTGGGATTTGATATAAGATAGGCCCCATTATTTTCCAAAGCAGCTCATTTTCCCATCATTGTTTATTGAGTAATTCTTCCTCTCCCTCAATATTGGAAATAAGTGGCCTAGCCTGTGAACTGCACCCAGCTGGGCACAAGGTTGTCCAATCTCTGAGACTGTCCTAGGGACCACCCGCTCCCTGCTGCCCCCTGGTGCCCAGCAAGCCTTCCCTGCAGGTATGCTCTGCATTTCTCTGCCCACGCCTCACCCAGAGCGGGTCTGGAGCTAGGAGCAGGTTGCAGATTAACAGCGAAGGACCTTTCCCCGGATGTGGGCGTTGAGGGAGATCCTGTTGTGGAAACTGCCACTGGTGACAAGACAGACTCTAGAGACTCGCCTTAGAGAAAGCTGATGACATTGCTGCAGAAACAAATGCAAATGGCTTAGGGATTTTGGCTGTGGGAGGCCCTCAGTCAATGTCGATACAATTTTACATTAGGATTTTTTGCACGGGTTTTGGAATACCTCTTATGTGAATCTCTTTGTGATGAGTAATCCTTATTAAGAGTCACAAATCTAAATGTTGTAGTTGGAGGCTAAGTTGGCTTTCCAGGCTCCTCTGTGGCCTGACCCGGTTCCCCTTTGTTAAGCCTTCAGTTTGATCAGTTTCAGCAATTTTATACAACAACTACAGCCCTAAACCAGATGTAGAACACCTGAAAGGGGTATTACAATTTACTAATTCCCTGAAGTGAAATAAACATTATAAACACATTTTATTAATTTATCTCCTATACTTTATTTTTTATTTTTATTTGTTTGTTTTTGTTTTGAGACACAGTCCCACTGTGTTGCCAGGGCTAGAGTGCCATGGCATCAGCCTAGCTCACAGCAACCTCAAACTCCTGGACTCAAGCAATCCTCCTGCCTCAGCCCCCCCCCCACCCCCCAGTAGCTGGGAATACAGGCATGCACCACCATGCCTGGCTAATTTTTTCTACATATTTTTAGTTGGCCAATTTCTTTTCTATTTTTAGTAGAGATGGTATCTTGCTCTTGCTGAGGCTGGTTTCGAACTCCTGACCTTGAGCAATCCGCCCGCCTCGGCCTCCCAGAGTGCTAGGATTATAGATGTGAGCTCCTGCCTGGCCTGATTTTGTTTTTTGTAGTCGGCATCTCTCAGCCTGAGAGGAGAGGTGTTAACCAGTGTCCATTAAGATGTGTCAAGTGGATACTTTGAGTCTTTCATGTGGCCCTATTCTGTTGACTCCCCTCCCTCTTTGAAGTTCATCTCCCAGGCTAGATCTGCTCTGCTGGGGTGTGGGGCCAGGGCATTGGGTACAATGTGACTCTTCCTCCTTAATCTTGCCTGTAACTTTTTGATGGGACCAAGGATCCCTGTCCCTCCTACCACCAAGGGTGCCTCCACGCATTCCTCTGTGCGAGCTGTAAACATCTGCAGTTGTTTTCTTTCTTTCTTTCTTTTTTTTTTTTTTGAGACAGAGTCTCACTTTGTTGCCCAGGCTAGAGTGAGTGCCATGGCGTCAGCCTAGCTCACAGCAACCTCAAACTCCTGGGCTCAAGCAATCCTTCTGCCTCAGCCTCCCGAGTAGCTGGGACTACAGGCATGCGCCACCATGCCCGGCTAATTTTTTCTATATATATCAGTTGGCCAGTTAATTTCTTTCTATTTATAGTAGAGACGGGGTCTCGCTCTTGCTCAGGCTGGTTTTGAACTCCTGACCTCGAGCAATCTGTCCCCCTCAGCCTCCCAGAGTGCTAGGATTACAGGCGTGAGCCATCATGCCCGGCTAAAACTGCAGTTGTTTCCTTTGACCATTTCTGTGAGAGTGAAATCGTGTAAAAAGGGGGGGGGGGTGCCAGTACTTTAGTGGAAACACTTGGACTTTGGAATTTGATCAGACTCAGGTTCTGTCCTCGGCCTTGCAGTTTCCACGTGGCTACGTGCAGGTGAATCTCTGCAGAGAACATAGCTAATGCAGCTCACCCTGGGCAGAGTTAAAGGCCCAAGAGAAGCCGAGGTTGCCATGGCCAGGGGATGCCTGAAGACAGGGTTCCAACCTCACATGGCCTATAATTGTCATTTATTTACTTACTCTACTATGTAGAGAGTGCCAGGACCTTTGTGTAGGGAAACATAAATTCCTGCCCTCAAGAGGTAGGGAGATAAGTTTTAGATCCATTTAAAGATTAACTTTTAAAAGATATTTTTATTATGCATATACATAAACATGACTAGAAACTGAAGGCAGCAAGTGGATAGCATATTTTCTCTAGAGGTTAAACATCACGTTTATATATATTAGCAACATTTTCTGGTATGCTCTTAGAAATGCAGATACAGGCACTGCAGTTAGCAGTTACTTCAGGATACTTATGCAGGCAGCAGCTTGTTCTCAGACCAGATGTTGAGAAGCCTGGATCAGATGGACCCATTTAGCTGTTAATGCTGATAATCACTAACTGCTATTGAATGCTTCCTGTGGGCTCTGAATTTTGCTCAGTTTTACATGTACTATCTTGTTTAATCCTCAGTCTATGAGGCAGGCATCATCATACTTTACAAATGAAGGCATTGAGGTCCACAGAGGTTGGTCAAATTGTCAGGAGCCCCATAGCTAGGAGGTGGCAGTGCCATAGCTGGGGTGCTGCTCAGATCATCAGAATATGCCATGGGTGTGCCCTGTCACAAGCCAAGGCCAGCGGAGATAAGTCCCTGTCTGCTGGGCCACTATCTGTTAGTCTAACCCTAACCCTAACCCTACCCTACCCTACCTAACCCTAACCCTATCTGTTAGTCAACTAACAGATAAATGTTAGTTGACTGAATGAATGAATACACGCTGATATCCAGCAGACCTTTGAAAGTCTTGTTAGTGAATGAATATGCTCTTTATATATGCATGCATCTGAAGCATGTTTTCCTCCCTTCTCTTTGTTATATGTGGGTTGTTGGCATTATTATGCATCCGTTCTTAAGGCATAAACCTTCACCCTCAGCCTCTGACATCAAATCCTACTGATTCAATTTTAGAAATGTCCCTTGGAGTCATTCCTTCATTCAGCAGATGTTTCCTGAAGGCCAGTGTTTGGGATCTACAGGGACAGAGGGGCACAGATATCCCTGCCCTCCTGGAGCGTGTGTTCCTCCCCACGCCGGCTCTGGTCTCAGCTCACAACTGGCCTCCTTTTCCCCCGGGGGGGCCTCCGCCAACAAGCCTTGAACCAAAAAAAAATCCGGCCAATTTCTTGCTTACAAACCCCTTTTGCCTCCTGCCACTCTTAAGTGCAAACCAAAATTCTTTTGTGTGGCTTTTGGGGTCCTTCAGGATCTGCTGTCCAAGCCACCTTCCATCATTTCTCACACCGATGGGCTTTTCAGATGAGGCAGATCTTTAAACACTTCTGCCTTGAAAAGGGGACATCAGAGCCAGGATTGATCAGCTCTGACTGATCAAAGATGGTGGCCGCTGAGTGAGGCACTGGCTTACGAAATTTGTAGGAGTAAACACTGGAAAGCAAGCCGATGATGGAGACACAGTGATTATAACACCGAGCTCTAACCCAGGCCGGGTACCAAAGTAGAGCAGTGCCCATCTGAATAGATTGCCCGGGTATCAGTCTGAGCTCCGCTGTTTACCTGACCGTGGCATGTTTCCTCATCTGTAAGGTAGGAATAATCATAACCACCATGTAGGGTGGCTGAGAGAGAGCATTAAGTGAACTAAACACTGGTAAACATTTAGCATGATGTCTGGCAGCTGGGTGTCGTGGCTCATGCCTGTAGTGCTAGGTACTTGGGAGACTGAGGCAGGAGGATCTTATGAGCCCAAGAGTTTGAGGCTGCATTGAGCTATAGTTGCATCACTGCCACTCTAGCCTGGGCGATAGAGGGAGACCTTGACTCTAAAATAATAAATAAAAGTTCTCCCCTCTCCCTCCCTCCCTCCCCTCCCTCTCCTCCCCTCCTCCCCTTCCCCTCCCTGCCCTCCCTCCTCCTCCCCTCCTCCCTCCCTCCCCTCCCTCCTCCACTCCCTCCCTCCCTCCTCCCCTCCCTCCCCTCCCCTCTCCTCCCTCCTCTTCCCTCCTCCCTTCCCTCCCTCCCCTCCTCCCTCCCAGGCTTGCTCTGTCGTTCTGGCTGGCAC